CACTGGAATATTTGTCTTAGAGTGATCCTACAGGCACACCGTACTCAAAACAAGCTTAGAGAACATTCTCCGAGACCTGTTTACAGCATCACCAAAGATGTTTTTCTAGAACAGCAACAGCTATTTTACAGCTTGTTATTATGTATGTTCAGCTTGGGTTTTTCTTACATGTACAGTCCTCTGCGTTTCTTAATCCCTTCAAATCAGAGCCAAATCCAGGAGAAAGTATGGGATATACCTTACCTGATTATTCAGGTTGTAGAGGTAGCGGGATACAAAAACATGAATGTTTCTCATGATTTCCAAAACATCCAGACCCTGAAACAATATTATTTATTGAGAATTATTATGATAAAAATTATTAGGAACTACTGACATGCCTAACCACTAAGGTGCACAAATGCTATTTCTGTAGTTACTTGAAAACATTTTAGAAAGCAATGTTTTCGCTTTGCAAAATGAAGAATCTCTTAACAATTTTTCTTCACTGTCTGCAAGGTAATGCTTAAAGAAGAAAAAAGAAGCTTAGCTCTCATTTTAACATTTGCATGTCTGCCTGCTTTTTTCCAACTTCCCCTGAAAGTAAGGAATCCTCCAGTCTACTCCACAAGCCCCAATTAAAAAAAAAAAAGTTGAGATTTGTCTGTTCTTAGATTCCAGAAAATGAAACCTTCCTTAATTTCTATAAACACGTAGATGTCTACAGCAACATAAGCAACTAGCTACTTTTTGTTATTGTTTTGCCTAACCTGTCTAGAAGACTAATTTTTTATATTCACAATATAAGTTTTACTATTGTTTTGCTTGAAGAAGTCCCTTAAATATCACTGTGCATTGAGAGGATGCTATTTAATCTATACACTCCATTTCCAGTTGTGCCAAGGATTTTATCAGGGTTTTGCTGGGGCCAGGGGGGAATGGAGTGAGGGATGTCTTTGTTTTGAAGTAAAGCTCATACCAGAATTAATGTTATGAAACCTATGTTGTGAAAGGATCTAATTTTTTATAACAATGTGATGGCCAAATATTGCCAATAGAAAGCCAAAGCCAGAAATAGAAACTAATCCACATCACTTCTGTACCAAGAAGCAGCTTGAGTTGTTAGTTCTATGCCCTCTTTCAACTTAGAAGACATAGCCACCATGAACATTGGAAAAAAAACCAAGCTGTATTTCTATGAGCTTTCACCAGTGTGCTAACTGAAATGAGGGAATGAAGCTAACTGCCAAAAATATCCAAGATACTAAATCTCTTGAAGTAAAGTCTTCAGAAACATGCAAGTTGTATTTCTTTCGCACTGACCCTATAACAGTGAATGCCTTCACCATTAACTTGATGAAACTACTCTACATGAAACCACCTTTAGCACTTTCTAGGAGGCTCTGAGTCACTCTTCTACTAAGCTAAGCACAGATGTCCCAAAGTCCTCAATGTGCAGCCTGTGAAACAGTTTCTCTGGATGACCACTAAGCAGAACCTGCTGAGAAGCAAGCAACAAATCAGGTTGGATGGGGCTCTGAGCAACCTGATCTAGTTAGCGGTGTCCCTGCTCACTGAAGGGGGGTTGGACTAGATGACCTCTAGGGGTCCCTTCTAACCCAAAACACTCTATGATTCTATGATTCTATGAAAAGACCCACCACTCAAAGATCATTCCAGGCTTGTGACAGTTGTATTCCAGATGTATTTAAACTAAAACAGGATAGGTTTAGACTAGATATAAGGAAGAAATTCTTTACAGTGAGGGTGGTGAAACACTGGAATGGGTTGCCCAGAGAGGTAGTGGAGGCCCCATCCCTGGAAACATTCAAGACCAGGTTGGATGGGGCTCTGAGCAACCTGACCTAGCTAAAGATGTCCCTGTTCACTGCAGGGGGGTTGGACTAGATGACCTCTAAAGGTCCGTTCCAACCCAAAATATTCTATGATTCTACTGCTTGCCAAATTGCTGATACTGAATTTTCAAGAAAACATTCTCTGACCTTGTATATCCGATTTTATTTTATTAAATCTTATGTTAAAAAATGAATGATACAAGTCCAACAAGAAAACTGGCATTGGTGTTATCTCTGAAGGTAGATAAGGATCCTGTCTCAGAAGTCAACTAGAAATTAAGGTCACCTTCTCCAAACAGTTCTCTAATCTTGGGTACTTTCATTTTAACAATGCAGTCCTTTGAACAGCTAGCTAGTATGACAGCGTAACGAAACAAACAATATTCATATCCTGTGGGCACTGTACCTGTTCCAGAGTCTGGCTGGGAAGATGTGCTTCAGTCATACTTAAACCATAGCGTTGAGTTGCTAGGTTTCTCATTTCACTGTAGGTGGCCCAGTCATGAAGAGCTACAGTCGTTAAGTTGTAGAAGGTCTTGTCCAAATAGTGAGTTACATAAGCTGTAAACACACAAAAGGATAAACTAAAACAATACTACCTACTTAGCTAGGGAAGTGTGGAAAGAAGTGAAAAGATATACTCAGCAAAGTGTAACAGAGATGAAAGTAATGAAATAAAGAAAGTGAGTAACTCCTCACCTTTTATGTCAATGAATCGATTGAAAAAACGTATTGGGTTCAGAAAGAAGAAGTGAGCTAGATCCTTCATACCAACTCTGAAGGGGTTTCTGTCATCCAGCTTTAGATGTGTATGAACTGATAAGCGCAGGTCCTTTTCTATCTCTTTACATAATTTGTCCAGCAAGTGCTATTCAGGGAAGTTAAAAAAAAAAAAAAAAGTCATGTTCAGTGTCTGCTTACATTGCCCTATTAGCAGAACTAACATCTCTCTCCAGAGATACATAAAAGACTGATTAAATTACTGAAGACAGCTTTGCTTTGGCAGGGCCACACAAGTCAAAGTGAATCAATACTTGAGAACCAGAAGGATATTTAATTCCTGTGTTCTTGCTCTGGTACACAACAGCAAGAAAAAGCTACACAGCTCAGAAAAGGTAAAGGCTTAACTACCTAATGCCATTATGTACATGATTAAAGCTTCCACGTAGGAATTTAAGACAATTTAAACTTAAGTATTCTCACATCTCATCTTAAGGGGAAATAGGCTTAGGGCTATCTATCTAGATAATAATAAGACCTAACTCAGTGAGAAAGAGTCTTGCAATAAGTAATTTGGCCTGATTTTCTGCAGAATACGTAATGTTTGGTTTTGAACTAGTCAGACAAAAAGAATGGTTCAAAGGTTAAAACCTAGGACATGGGAAATCTGAATTCACTTTTTTCTCTGTCAAACATCCTTCGTAATTCTAGATAATAATTCAGTAACGAGGCCACCTACATTTACAGAGACTTCACTACTAAAAGCCATGCATACATACTAAGAACAGTAGTGCTTATTTTAGGCATTCATACAAGCAGAAGCTAATCTGACAAAAAGCAATCCTTTGTCTGCATAGTCAAATCTGTAACTGAGGTTTTGCCAACTTGCATAATTTAGAGTGCAGTATTTTCATGTTCCCAACCAATACAGACACCATTAGCAACAGGTCTTAAAACCCCAAAATCATCAGTGAACACTTTCTTATTTATTAAAATACTTCACACCAATCTCAAAGGTCTCTATGGTACTTTTATAGATCACATCAGGTTTGGTACGGTAGATGCTGGCCTATCAGATGTTCCAAGCATAGTGTTGCCATTAATTTCCATTCACAACAAATTACCTCATTGAGCACTTCCATGATTTCCTTGTCATAACATTCCAGAAGTACCTCATAAGATTCCAAGTGTCTTGCATGCATCATAGCAGGTACACAGTCCCGTAGTGCACTAAACATATACTAAAAAAAGAAACTACTATGCTTAACCAGCAGATTGAAACAGCAGCTCAGATAGTGTTCAAAGCTAACAAACAAATCGAAATTGCTAGTCTTCCCACTTTTAATAAAAACAGACTTTATAAACCCTACTGAAGTTTCCTGTCCTTAATGTGTTCATCTGAAGTATTTAGTTACTACTGATCCGTTTACTGGAAGGTCATAATTATTAGTTATTTCATCTGAAATTATTTGCACTATCATCATCTTAGTATTGTAATCAACCATGGCAAGCACGATACTGGAATAGTTATCAGGATTAGTATGCCAAAGTATGATTCACTTCTGCAGGAAATACTTGATACCTCAAAGAAGGGAGGAGAGATGGGGGGTGGAAAAAGCTACAGGACAACTATCCCACACAGCATCACTGAACACAGCAATATGTGCTTTAGAAATCTGTAACCACAATGTGGAACAAGGACTTCTAATGTTCAAGTCTAGCAAAAGGTGTTCATTCCACATTAGAATGAATGAAGAGAGGAACAAAGAAACAGACACACAGAGACCCAGAATTAACAGCAGCAACCTGAGATTTTTAGAGCAATCTAACAGATATCTTTCAATTAGATTTAGAACAAAGACTGCTTTTACATCCTCCAGATTGAGAAGAAATTTCTGCCTCGGTCGTAACTCTTGCCTGGGTTTTACTTTTTTTTTTGGTGTGATTTTTCCTCAAGAGTTTCAGTCTAAGCTTTATCCTCTCCTCCTCTGAATCCCTCCCACTACAGTGGCTTGTTTAACTAAGTTACTAACATTACTACTTACATGCAGTCTAGCAGAATCAACAGCATTTTCATACACGTCATCTAAATAGATTGGAAAGACTGCTCGATGCCAGTATAAGAAGCAACAGTCACATTGTACTCGAACTCTAGAATATAAGATTACTTATTAGACACAGAATTGGAAGAAACCATTCTTCTAAACACACTAAAATAATTATCACTGTGTTTAAACTAAAGACAAATGCATTTTGAGCCTAAGTTTTACATGGTTACTTTAATGTTCCAGATGCATCGTCCTTCAAAAGAAAGTTCTTGAACAAAGAACTATTTTTTTCGTTTTCTACTGGGCTCTTTATAAACAAAAGGTACCTGCTTTAGAAAAAAAGGTTTACTCAGTCTCTGAAAGAATTAAGCCTTACATTACAGCAAAATCCTAAATAACTGTTTTCTTATTGCATGCAATTAGTTAGTAGCCTAGAACTCAAACATATGTTCTAAGTTTCTCCTGTGAGACAAAAAAGAGAAACAGGCCTCTCCTGATACAACCTGTACACAACACTTATCCTAGGAATTTATCCCATGAGTCATCCACTGAAGGTAAAGTATGCGTGGAACCCAGATGTTCACCTGGCTTTCAGATGGCCAACATTACAGAAATTGAGTGCCCACTAAAACTACAGCAACAGTAAAACATAGTGTCACATGTGAACGAACAGCCTGATCTCCCAAACAGACTGGTATTAACTCATAACTTTTGGGTTTGGGTGAAGCGAAGACTAGTTGAACATAAAGCCTAGCCATCCAAGACAGTGACAGAATTTGTAAACAATCAGAAGTGGATTAACTAACTGGCAACAGTTAGGCAAAATATAACCTGCCCAAAGACCAGCAAGCTTCAGGTTTAGTTCTGGAATTCTTTCTGTCCATCCCTGGTCTACAATACACGCAAAAGTCACCACCAGCACGCAGCTACCAGATTTTGCAATTCACACAGTGACAATCCAGCTCCCCCAGTGACACTACACTGCCTTCAATATGTCACATGCTGCTGCTTACCTCTCTGTAAGTTCACTGATCAAATCTAGTTTTTTCAGAACTAACTGAAGAGGAATGAGTTCTTCATCTTTAAAAGTTTTCTGTACAAATGAAAAAAAAAAAGACAAGATTATATTTTCTTTATAAGTTACTATGACAAAGAAGTAAAGGTCTGGAACAATCATGGCACTTACCATCTGTGTTCCCACACTCAGTGCAAGGGAAACAATTAGTCGCCTCTGTTTTGTACTTGGCCCATTGAGGGTGTTCTCAGCCAACACCAAAGCAGAGAGGACATCCAGGCGTTGCTCACTGTACTTTTTATCAGAAATTACTCTTTTCTGGATGACAGAAAGACAGAGAAATTCAGAGAAAAGTTACTTAACCCCATAACCTTCTTTCCAAAGCTTATGGACTTGTCACTAATTGAGTATTTCTGCAAACAAACCATGTTTTGTGGACAGAGCTAGCCTAGTCCAGATTCACTTACTCTGTCAAGTCAGCGGTATCACTTATCTATACACTTGGCATATGTGCAGTTCAGCATGAACACGGGTCAGGTATATAAATACTGTGTGAGCTGCATGTGACTACATGCCAATTTTAGTTCTAAGGCACACGTAATTTCATTTTTTTTTTAATTATTTTTTAATCAGTGACTCCCAGTTGTTGGTAGCAAAATCCAATTTACAGCTGAAGGGCCAGAAGACGTATAAACATGGTAATAACGATGTCTTGCAATTTTCTACAAATTCTAATTTATCAGAAAGATTAAGTGCAAAAACATTTGCATGAAGAAACAAAGGGAACTGAGTCGTCTGGCTAAGAAGTTGAAGTCACAGATGTATTTGTGAGTAGCAGCGTAAGTCAGAAGATGTACAGTTTCGTTAA